CGCGTGGGTCACTGGTGCTCATATCCAGCAGTCACAGTGCGAGGGGCGGGGTACACCCTGGACAGGTCGCAAGTCCATCACAGGGCCTATTTGGTTACCACGTTCTGCTTCACAACTCACAGTATTGTGTGTTGAGTTGAACAATATACAGTTTATAATATGGCCGCCCTCTCCAACCATGAAAAGTCGTGCCGTAGCACCGCTAGTCAATACGCATCACTGGTTGCAAACACTTAGATTTTCAGTTCCCACTGAATTCTGGGAATTTTTAAAAAAAAAAAATTTACCACATGGTGTCAAGTTTGAATCCCTGACAAGTCTCCAACAGTCACAGCCCAGTGAGACGCCAGCTTTCTGTTCCAGCTATTTGCAGAAGAATTCCACCTGTTCCCATGTAGCTGTTTTCAGACTGAGAAACAGTTCAGTTCAGTTTCACATTTTGGTATTTTCAAACTAAAACAAGATGTTAATCATCAACCTCAGAAGCACTTGTTGGATGCTAAATGCTACACTTAGCATACAGCTAGCAGTTCCTCTGTTTTCACTTGTGGAGTTAGACGACTTTACATTTGTCTGACATGAAAAAGGTGCAGAATATCTCAAAGTCGTGACAAGAAACAGTGTTCGATATCGTTCTAAAATAAAATCAAAAGGAAAGTGAGCAGAAAGTGGGAGGCAGCAGGCAGACAGAGACGGAAACATAAACAGGTCATGTAGTTTGTAAATGAAAACTAGCTGCAGAAACGTAAAAAGGAAAGTGGATTAGTTGTGTAGATGAGAACACGAGGCCGCTCCACGTCAGGACAATAATCCAGAGGAATTAAAAGGAAACGTTGGGCTGMTATTCTTCATTCGTGTCTCGGGGCACAGAGAGAACCTCCTCCCCCCCCCCAGCTCATTTACGCTGCGTTTGTCAGAACAAAATAAAACAGATATTAAGTAGTGAGACGAGGAGTGCCATGAATGTTTAATCAGGTTGTGTGTTTTCCTCCCTTCATACCTTAAGGGGGTGTTAAAAAAAAGAGGTGTGAGTGTTGTCACTTGATGACGTGCGGTGTTACGTGTTTGTGTATCAGAGCAGGCTTCACGTTGGGTTTCTACGAAAAAAAAAAAAAAAAACAGGGAAGCGGCCCCTGAGCTCTGTCGCTCCCCAGCTCCTGACACCTCTCGCTGGGGAGACGGAGCTCCGGTGTCGGCCTCATTAAGGCCTCCACTGTCTGCCTAATGAATCGATTGTGTGGTATCAGTGCTCCTGGCTGGCGCTCCCACAGCGCCGCTTCACGCCTCCTCTGGGGGCCTCCCTTCCACTGAGCTCTTAATCAGGAAACAGCCCTAATTACCCTGCCTCCCTCTTTCCTCTCCCCCTCAACTCTTTCTTTTCTCTTCTTCATCGCGCCCTCCCTCTCCCT